CCCCAGCCAAAGCAAAATGCAATTTAAAGTTTACGATTGGGCCAATTAGAACGGGACATAGAATTCTCCCAGTTGTTTGACTCATTGTACGTTGCAGAAAATGAGCTGTACTGAAATACATTAACTGCCATTTACAAACGAAACTGAAACCTTGTTTGTCTCAGAATTTTTCTTGTAGATGTGTGTTATTCTGTTGCGTATTGGTTAATAAAATAACTCAGTCCTCTCATACAGAAAGAAATATGTAGTATGCGTATGGCATATTGCCATCTAACAGAAGTCCCTTAATATAGATTCATTCTAGGAATCGCTGATGTATTTCCACCATTAATTGTATACTTTTATGAAAACTTTCGCCACGTAGAAACCAAATTATATTTGAGCGTAGGAAATGTTTCATACTACAGACTAAATTTTAAATTACAAAAAAACACTTAAAGCATAGAAAAATGTATTTTAATCATCGCATTTTTTTCTTCTATTAGCTAAAATTGTAAGCTTAAACAAAAAGTAAACAATATCAGGGTAATACTTTTACATTTTTTAAAAAATATATTTTGTCAAAAAACTCAGAAATTCCCTCCAATAAGTCTGCGTACACTTTCAAAAAAAAAAAAAGCAAAAATATAAGTTTTTACATTACTCAATACTTTGTAGGATATCCTTTATTCTTCAAAACAGCTTGCAGACGTCTGGGCGTTGACTGAACTAGTTTTTCAGTGTCATCAGACGTAAATTTCGCCCATTCTTTTTGCAATTTACTAATTAGCTCATTTAGCGACGTAATATTGTGTTTTCAAATTCGTTTCTCCAATTTTGCCCACAAATGTTCGATTGGATTGAGGTCTGGTTACTGTGGAGGAATACGCAACTGTCTTGGAGTGTTATAGAGGAGATATTCCTTCACAATTTTAGCTGTATGTTTCGAGTCGTTGTCTTGTTGGAAAATAAAGGTATTAGGAAGGTTTAAATTTCGGGCACTGTCTCGTAGATTTTTCTTCAGAATATCCAGATAAACGTACTTATCCATGACTTTATCAATAAACTACTTTCGACGACATACACCCCCATACCATCACACCGCCAACTCCATGTTTGACAGTTGGATTTAAATTTCTCAGATTCAGTTCTGTTTCTGGTTTTCTCCATACAATAGGGTGGTCATAACTTTAAAATATGTAAATTTACTTTCATCTGACCAAATTACATTGTTCCAGAAGTCCTGCGAAGAGTTTAAATATGTTTTGGCAAAAGCAATTCTTTTCTATCTATTTGTCTCGGAAATGTATGGCTTAGACCCATGTTTGCGTCCATGATAATCGGCCTTTCGCAGCGCTTTTCGTACAGTTTCAGGAGAAATTTCCTTGTTGCTAGTTAAAAAACTGTCTTTCGCAATGCTTGCAGCAGAAAGTTTAGGATTTTGTTTAATTCGTAAAAGAATTTTTCTTTCTTTTCTTTGCCTTAGCTTCTTCGGTCTCCCACATCTTGGTTTTACAGCAAGACTACCAGTGTTACGATAGTTTTGAATAACTCTTTGCACACTAGAAAATGGTTTTGAAATGTTTTTACCAATATAGCGAAGAGTTTTTTACCTTCATCTCTCAATTTGATAATTAGTTGTCTCGTAACTAAAGGAATCTCTTTATTTGGTTGTCATTTTCGTCAAAATAGAAATAACAACTTCCAATCAACGTAAAATTTGTTTCGGAAGTCAATGACCTTGAAAGTGTAACCTTCTTTGCATTCTCAAGTTTGAAGTTTAAAAGTTAAATAAGAAATCCCCCGCCTCCTTCGTGTTGTACGCAAACTTTATTAGCTTTGATTTCTGGCCACTTATCTTTTAAAAATTAGTGTGCATGAATTACAACATATGAAAATATTACAGTTAAATAATTTCAAAGCCCCTTATTGAAACTAAATATTTAAAAAATAAAACTTTAAGAAAGTACCCTTTTCGGACCTTAAAATTTGGATTTGATATTACTTTTCTTCATGTACGCAGACTTTATTGACTAACTGTACGTGTAAAACAAATGAGAGTTCTAACTGTGGGAATACTTCGAGAAACTGACCTGAAAACAGCGTTATACATACAAGTACTGATGTTTCACCGAATCATATTTCTCACAAGATTTCGTAGGGGCATTTTTCCGGTTTCTTGATTCACCAACTGAATATTACGGGCAATGCTTTCTTCCAATTCTTGTACAAGTTTTATTTCCTAATTAGGTTTCTCCCGGCCAACCAGCGGCCGAGCGGTAAAAGCCGCTGAACACTGGTAGTTCCGTCTGGGGTTCTAGTCTCAGGGAACGCGCTGGCTGCATGGGTGTTTTCGTGGTTTTCGTGGTTTTCCCCATGTTAAAGTGGATACGGGAAAGTTTCCCTTAGAAGGACTTCCACGGGGCGTCCCTCCCTTTCCGTATGCCTAAGGGCGGAGAACAAACGTAATTAGGTTTTGCATAATTTTAAGGTAATAGCTGCTTGTTTCCAAAACCATGTGGATTTGTGTTTTATTCCAAAGCATATTATATTTTATATAATTGCTTGCGGAAGCTACATATTATCTCCTCGACCAATCACGTAGCGCGATTTAGCGCCAATTATAGATGACCATCTCCTTCAGAATTCTCAGCGGCCGAGCGGTAAAGTCGCTGAACACTGGTAGTTTGGTCCGAGGTTCGAATCCCGCGAACGGGCTGGCTGAATGGGCGTTTTCGTGGTTTTCCCCATGTGTATTGTGTATACGAGCCAGTTCCCCCTTAGAAAGTCCTCCACGAAGGCATCTCTCCCCTTAGGCAGATAGCCCTAGTGTGCTTTGCCATAATTAAATACACCACACCACACCTTCAGAATTCTACAGTAGCAACTGGCGACCGTTGCCAAAATTTCCAGATTTCGTCAAACGATGGATGGGTTTGGTGTTCTTGATTATGGCAAGCACTAGAGGTCTAAACATCTAAGGGGAGGGATGACTTCGAGGAGGACTTTCTAGAGGAAACTGATTTGGTATTGTATCTTTGCAAATGCGTGAATTCTGAGAGATTACCAGATGAATCTCCAGTTCATCCCAGGCTTCAATTTAGAAGCAAAGCGCTTCAATCTGTTATCTCCTCATCAGGTACTTCTGTCTTAAGTAGAATTTTCTTTACGGTCTCATCACAGGTCAGGCGCTAATGGGACTCTTTGGATCACTAGCCTGAACAGGGAAATCTATCCCCTGCTGCAGGCCAGTATACAGACCAGGTATCAAACTATCAAAGAGGAAACTGGCTCGTATACGCGTTACGCATGGGGAAAAAGAAAACCACGAAAAGGCTCATGCAGCCGCCCCGTTCGCCGGGGTCAAATCCCGGACAGAACTACCAGTGTTCAGCGACTTTTCCGCTCGGCCGCTGGTGGGCCAAAGGTAGACGGGATAATATGCAAGTATCTTGCTTATAGGTTGTGGTTTATATCAGTTCTTAACATATTTTGAGAGATCAGTATTTCGAGAAGAAATCCATTAAGTTCATAAATAAATTTAAAAATAGCGAAATTTTTAAATTACCATTACGTGACCTATTTATGAATAAAAGCCTAAATAAAAATATCAGTAAACTTACCTCTGTGACGTCATTAGAATTAGTGCATCGACGAAAAGGCAAAAACTATTATTTACTTAAAAGTTGCTCCTTATTCATGATAATGAATCATTTCCAACTTCCTAACTCAAACTGAAACTGTCCAGAACATATAGGTTTGGTTTATTTGAACTGTGGTAAAACTCTTAAGGGTAGCTACCTAAGGGAAGAGATGCTTTCGTGGAGGATTTTCTAAGCGAAATTGGCTCATATACACGTTACACTTGGGGAAAACCACTAAAACATCCATGCAGCCAGCCCCATATCCCTGATCTAATTGCCAGTATTCAGCTACCTTACCGCTCGGCCGTTGGAGAGCCCCAGAATAAGGCTTCTCACTAAAAATTTAGGTACTTTTCCGTTTCGCCGGGCCCACCAGCGGCCGAGCGGTAAAGTCGCTGAACACTGATAGTCGGTCCGAGGTTCGAATTCCGCGAACGGGCTGGCTGCATGGGCGTTTTCGTGGTTTTCCCCATGTGTAAAGTGTATAGGAGCCAGTTTCTCTTAGAAGGTCCTCCACGAAAGGCATCCCTCCTCTTAGGCAGATAGCCCTAGTGTGCTTTGCCATAATTAAATACACACACACACCGTTTCGCCGGCGCAAATCTCGCCAAGCAGACTTTGTTGGCGACAACATACAGTACACACATAAAAAATGGTAACGAATGTTAGTTCTAAGAATTTTTTATTTTGAAGACATAAACATTTTAATATGGTTTAAAATTTTGTAAAATGCCAATAAATAACGACAATAAATTTCTAAAAAGACATTAATTTAAGAATTTACTATGCTGGTTCAATATCCTGATTTGCCGATTCGTATCACATGACCCCAAGTGATCTCATCTCACGTAAACTACGCTACAAAATTCTAATTCTCTCAGTAATTATCTACATTAATTTGAAGTTAAATTTTAATTTGGAATACAAGATTAAATGCAAGAATTATTTCAATTCGTACGAATAGCTTACTGAGAAATTATGTAAAACCGTAGTGCTTTACTTCGCTAGTGTATTCTCTTTAGAAATGATGAATTTAACCCTTGATTTTGCCTTTTCTATACTTTCGCTTTCGGGTGAGCGGTGTGATTGCATTCTAATTGACTTAATGACCGCGAATCGTCTTAGGCTATAAAATTCAACTATCTTGTAATAATTCTACGTAATTGTATGCCAGTATTGAAAGAAATAATCAAATATGATAAGAAATGGTTGCGACTCGCTTTGAAAATGAGGGGTAAAAGGTTACCAGCTATGATTGGCATCAGTTGTACCATTATTGGCGACTTTATCGTTTGCGCTGGCAAAACGGAAAAGTACCAAAATGTATTTATTGTACACTATTTGATTCTTTAAAAGTAATCCGGATTTTATTTACAGGTAGTTGTAATTCCTGGTATTGGAACTTTCGCCCTCAGTCGTCAAAAGCTTTTAATTTCTCATCTACCTATAAAGTATGTCATCAATCAAAAACCTGTGTTTCAATTAGCTCATGCGCTTGCTTTGAAATTCCGACTCAAGTGGGCAAGAATACAGTACGAAAGTATGTAAAACGAATTCCATTTCATTCAGATTACTGACTGTCTCTTAAAAGCTGAAACACGTTAAAATTGCAGATTAGATTAAATCATTTTGAAAGTTCTCTTTTATAGAAATATGTTATAGAAGTTCAATATTTAATTTAAACAAAAAATTTTTTAACACGCAACATTTTTGCTGGGTTTTATGACTTTATAACTGTGATTCATTTCTGTTAATCGTGTTCGGTAATAAGGACTTAATTTATTGTCATTATTCAGTAATTTAATTTTGCATTATCTCTCTTTGTATATATGGGTTGAAACTTTAACTGTTACAATACTGTTGAATATACGCCATGAAGCGGAATCAGTGACACTCTGTTTCAATATCGTTTTTACTTCCTTGTATTGGAAAGGAAGTATTGTAATCGCGAAAAGTTTCAGGCTGCATATATCAACGAAAATATCCATTTTGACCGCTATCGAATGCAATTTAACGATGTTTCTGCGTGATATCTGTACGTAAGGAAAGAATAAAGTACTCTTTTCCTCCAAAAAATTTATAAAACTGCTTTAAAATGAATTCTGAAGACAATTTTTTGTGGCGTGTACAGACGACCCACTCGTACGTACAGACGACCCGCTGTACGACGACCCACTCGGCTATCGCTGCCCGGCTGTCAACTCGATCGACTCCGCAGGGATTGACTCGCTAGACGAGACACCAACTCGATACTAACTAACTCGCAATCCAGACGAGACACTGACTCGCCCTCTCCATGAAGCACACACACTGACTTCCGACCAGCAGGGTTTATAATATAGCTTTCGGCTTGTGTTTGAGAACATTCTGGGCTAAACCGGTAAGAAATCTTTCCAGAAGTTTCTCCATTCGTCCATGGTATATCACCAATTTTGTCGCCAAATGGGCGATTTCTCGCCAAATGTGGCAACTTTGCCTTCCCTTGGCATTTTACAGCAACCCTAATACTGCTTTGGTGGGAAGCCATCTTACGGCACCTGTACGTTTCGTAACAATATATACAGCAGTAAATCGAGCGGTTCAAAACAACCCGAGCTCTCTTCCATTGTGCTGGAAAAACTGCTAATTGTAAACAAAGGTTGAAAAGTCTTTGTAGAAATGTGCTATCCACCGCATGAAAGTGCTGTACAATTTCATTAGAAAGAGAGTCAAGCCCAGGTGATTTGTTCTTCTTTGAGATTTTTAATAACACTGTTAACTTCTGAAGTAGAGAACGGACAGTCCATAAAAGAAATATAAGGTCCATCAGACTCAGTGCGCATAGTTCTATGAGAATTTCTATCATCACGCGCATTATCTCTTGGGAAATTCTTTGTCATTATAGCAATAATTGTATCACTCAAACTCGAAGTAACACTGCCATCCGGGAGTTTAATTCCCGAAATCTCAATCCTTTTCGCAAAATTGGTCTTAACCCCATACTTATATATAGATTTCCAGACATTGTGAACAGTAATAGTTTGTGAGGATTTGGAGTGAATAATGACAATACTACTTGATGAATATCGAAACACTGGCCAGTATTGTCAACACAGCTCCAAAACACGTTTTTACAGTCGTCGATGAACTACAACAGTTTTGATATACACAAGCAAGTATAAACTAATTAAATTGAGAAAACGGTTTATATCTACAAACCTATTACAATATAAACAGAAGCAGTAAATTCTTACCGGATTGAAATAAAATTAAACTGGATAGCAAAGTGAAGACATATACATGATTTGCTAAAATGAAAATGCAGGATAGACTTACACAAACAAAATACAACAAAATGTAAAGAAAAAAATAGTTTAATTGAGGTAGCGTACAAAGCGGTGTCTAGTAATCCACTTCATAATAAATAGATTTACTTTTCTGACTCTTAACGCTTATGCTCAGATAAAAAATTAGAGTGTCATGTATGAACTGGCGATCAAAAGGTATGAAGGTGTACAAGCCACGATGTTATCGAAACAGAGACTGCAGAATTGGAAATACAAAAACAGAAATGGCTATTATAAGATACTGCTTAAACTCGTTTGGAGGTCTATAAGTATAGAGGAAATGCTTCTTTACCTCATCATTAGGGTAGACCAGGATTCTTAAAACTTTTTCAGTCGCGACTCCGTTTTATCATCGAGATTTGTTTCGCCACTCCAGGCCTCGTAATATTTAAGAAAATTTTGCGGATCCCATTAAGCATTGCACAAATCCGATACACGAGTGAAACTGTTAGTTTTTTTCACTTGTTATTGTAATATACTATTGCAAGTTTAGGTCTTTAATTTTAATTTCTAATTTTAAGACACGGAGCAATGTGAAAATTTTAAATAAGTAACACACGAAATGACAGCGTCATGTGCAAAGCAAGTAAAATGAGCGTTTATATTATAAAACGAATGACTCGAAATGCTTTCGTTTTTCTTTACCTGTATTGTCTTATCTTTATCTATTTCCAGATAATTTTGTAAAAATATTTGGTAATTGTAAAATTACTATAATAAGTTAAAGAAATATCAAAACTGCTAAAATTTTAGGCGACCCCCTGCTGCAGTTCCCGCGACCCACAGTTTAAGAAATTCTGGGGTAGACTAAACATGGGACAGATCGTATGAGGCCAAAAATGGCACCACGAAAATCGTCAATTCATCTAAACATCAGCAATGCGAAAGATACGGTGATTTTAAGACTGTAATGTCATTAAACTACCGCATACCATACATCAAAAACAGATAGTTCGGGTGTAGTACTATTGTCATTTTTGGAACTTACTCTCCAAGCAGTATTGGAAAAGAACCAGGGTCTCTTTCTGCTGTATCCTCTCGTCATTTTAGAGGACAATGCTCGGTATCATGGAACTCAATCAGTCGCTGATTTGTTTGGTCGATGGGATTGAGAAGTGCCCTATGATTCAGATCAGTTCCCGAAATTAAGCGTTGTGATTACGATTTGATTCCTAAGATGAAGGAAAACTACTTCGAAGTATTTATAGCATGCGAGTTTATTTTAGATATTCTTCAAGAAACAGACTGCTCCATTCGAAGCATCAACAGAAGAGATGTTGTTGCAAGTATACTAGAATTTGCACATCACTGGCAACTTGTTGTTCGCAGTGTTGGTCACTACATCGGAAGTTTCAGTGTTTCAGTTTCTCTTGCGAGTTTTTAACAAAGAGTTGCCACTATTAAAATTCTAATCCTTGAAAACATAATTCCCAAAATTTTAATAAAATATGAGCAGATCTTCATAGGTGGCCTTTTAAATATTGGAAATAGATCCTTTAACACGTGTGTTACTTACTAGAAGCTTACCTATTATTACAGCTATTTTAATAACAGGTGCATTTTAATTGTATTTCATTTTACTCATGTAAATCAATTTTAATAGCGTTTTCATGGCATTATCAGATAAGCTTCACTTTCTTCTGCTAAACAGAAATGTTGGAGGGTAACTTGAATGGTCTCTTTACTGGAATTCGCGTAGAAGTAGCGTTGTTTAACTCAAAAATCATATCTTAAAAAGCAATTATCCCATCTTCTGTAAACTTGAATAATAATAATTTAGTTTAAATATTTTAAGCATGTAAGAAAAATAAAACACAATTTTCTTCATTTTTTAACCTGCAGAATCTATGTCTTCTCAATATCATTAGATCTTAATAATTAATTTTATGGTGAGAAAAAGATTTAAATATTACTATTTTACAAGTATGCAAAAAAATGCAATATTTACCACTTGACAACATATAAAAGACGTTGAAAACAAGCTTTGATTAATTTTATTGTTTAAACTTTTAAACAAACCTTTTATTGTTTAAACTGTCATTAATACATAGTAGTACAACTAAAATGGAATTACTGCATGGACTCGTACGTTTTCTCGTGGCGTACGTAGTCAAGACGTCCAAATCACAAGCAGACGATTTGTCGCTTAAATACGAAATTTTCACCTTCCCTGACTTGTACAAACCTTATAGTATCTCTATAATGAAACAGCCAAACTAAATGTGGTGCAGAGGATACCTCATCGAGATCTCAATTCGGTCGATTTGGCCTCTCGCCTCTTCCCAATCGTTCTTTAAGCGATAAGGAATATAAGGAATTATTGCATTCTTCCTTGCATGCTATTGGGGTGTAATCTGTTAGCACATTCAAGTAGCCGACTGGAAATTTCGGCGGAAACATTGTTGATTTTCACATTTGTTTTTGGCTAATCTTTGGAATATGTAACAGGTAGTTTGACGACATTTTGGTAAGGCGATAAAGGTTACTAGCTAGGACTTTAGCAATGTACATGGATAAAGTCAAGAGTGTGCGCAATGCCATTTTTGTGCAATTCTGGGATGTTTTTTTAAGTGAAAATAGGTCGACGTGTACATGGATACCGTGTATGTGCAATTCTTAAAAAACGCGGCAAGCAGTGGGCGATTCTGTGTTTCTCCCAATTTCGCACCTAATCTTCGTCATGATTAAGCACTTTTGTTCCATTAAATTTCTAGCATAAGCGTAATTCGGCTAGCAGATTGTTGGGAAAAAAATGTTGAGTAAAAAAAACATGCCTTTACTTCGTGAAAACAAAATGGCATCCAAAAAAGAACTAGCAGATTGCTGTAGCAGGGTTGGTAGCCAAAGTTTCGCCAAAAAGTCGCCAAGTTACCATAATCCGAAGATTAACCTTTTTTTTTTTTTTTTCTTCTTCCTGAAAATCTTAATGGTCTCTATAATGTTTGTAAAGTTAATTTCCAGTTAAATTGGCACTGTTCTGTTATCGGGATCAGATTCAGATATCGCCAAAAGTTAACGATCTGGCGTTCGCGAGGCTTTAATTTTCGCGAGCCCGTCGTAATCGCGAAAATTTAAGCCTCGCGAAATGCTTTTTTTTTTTTTTTTCCGCCTCAAATAACTTTACTTAAGTACTTTTGAAATTTTCAACTTTCGGTTCTGTTCATATAAAATTCGCGAAATTTTCAGCTCGCGAAATCACCGATATATTCATTTTCGCGAAAATAAGGACCTTTACAGTATTCGAAGCATACAATACAGTTAAGTTGTATAAATAGTAAAATACAATACAGTTAAGTTGAAGAAAAATCCAAGGGAATAAATAACAACACATATTTGTAAAATTAGAAATTTTTAATGTAAGTTAAACAACTTGCCAAAGAAATCAGAGAAAAAAAAATTCATTTTATGGTTTTCCGTGCACTCTTTTGCACATGTATAATTCCTCGTTCCTGAAGAAATTGGATGGAAGATATTATTTAGTTAAGATATTATTTAAGAAATTCCTGAAGAATTGTATGGAAGATCATTAGGCAAGTCCAAATTTTCACGTCCGTAGTAAATACAATAATAATAAAGCTGCTACATCTTTGGAATTTGCATTCTTGTTGTTGCCAATTTTGGAAAGACATTCTTTTACTTTCCCTTAACAAAGTTAACATTGTAGCGATTTTAGAAGTAAACATTGGCGACTTTATATGACTATATTGGCGACTCTTGGCGAGTTCAGCAAAACATTTTGCGAGAACTCCGGTCCCGATTACAGAATAGTACCGCTAAATTATCAAGTTTAAAAAATAGGTGTAATTTTATTACTTACTCTGATTTTATGAATGGTGATATTGCTACAAGATATTTTATAGTTGTTCAACGAATGGGCAAAGGACTGATAGCAACGAAAGGACATTGTTCATTCGTTGCTATTTCCTTTGTAACCCCGAGTTAGCACAAGTTGATCAAAAAAAAATCTTCTCACTTTCAAGTCCATAGAGCGGAAATTCGATTTTAAAATGAAGCAAAGCATATAAAATAAATAAGTAAAAAAAAATGAAATGTGTAAAATCTGAAAGGTTTCAGATTTTAAATTACCTCCAAAGGGGCGTTTTTTTTTAACATTTTGTGCGTTACCTTTATTTATAAAAAAACATCGTGTTCTTCTTACTTAATCCATAAAATTCAGTTCAAGAGCAATATCGCAAAATAGATTTTAAATTGGAGCATATCTTTAGAATTTCCGGTACAAAGTCTCGCGCGCTGGAGAAGTTGCTTTTTCTGTACAACGTTGCCATTGTTCGCTTTGAAATCCTTGAGTTTGTTAGTTTTTCGTTCAAGTTTTACAAAATATGAAATCGATAATAAAACAAATTCCAAATTTCAAATTTAGGCTTCCAGATGCCCACATTCGAAGTAGGATTATGTCATTAAAAAGGGGATGGCTCTAGGTTCCCTTGTTTTATCACAATGCGAGAAACATACATACATTTATACAGATTCTCCATTATTTAATTTTTCAAATATAATACAGGGGGATAATATTTGGTGGCAACAATCTGAAAAGTGAAACGAACATTTAGAGTGATTCGACGCAAAATGGCAAAACGAAAACAGTAGTCCATCAGGGACAAGGCCCCTTTGGAGTAAAAAATCTGAAAGCCTTCAGATATTATATCACGCCTAAAGGGGCGCCTTTTATTTTATTTACGTACACGTAAATAAAATAAAAGGCGCAACTTTAGTATTTACGTACACGTAATATTTACGTACTTTATTTTATTTACGTACGCCTTTTATTTGTTAAATAGCTTAAGTTCACGCCGGGAAATAATGTTATGAATCTTACTTCACGGCACCAATGTTATATCTTAAATTCATATAAAAATGTTAAATATGAAACTACTTGCCGTTAAAGGGAGTGATCGTATAGTGAAACGTGTACAGCATTTTTTGCGTTGTGAAAAAAAATGCATTCCGAGACCGCGCCGTGAGAGGATCGAAAACATAAAACATAGACAAGATATAAAGGAAAAGTTCATATTAAATATATAAAGAAAAACATACTGTAAGAGGTTCCAGATTAAATATCAGTTTATTCAATTACAACACAATAAGAAAAAATCTTAACCTCATCTGAGAGTCTGTTCATTTAAATTCATAAAAAACTTAAGGTTTGTCTGGTGATTTAAAAGAAAGGAAAGGGAAACAATTTATGGCCTGAGAGTTAAATTTTAGATTCGACGTTGTTTTTATGCTAAGGACGTTTTTGGAAAAACTTGCCTAAAGTTCCAACACACCAAAAAAATAATACTTATCTTGAGTGGACATCTTGAAGTGGAGGAGAGCTCATATCTTAGCTCTATCCTTACGTCACTTGGCAAATCCGCAAGACAGAGACTCGAACGGCACGACAATAAATTACATCAGCTATACCGTCAAATCTTACGCCTGCTACTGTTTTCCATAGAAGAAAATTATTCCCACTGGAAGCAAGAGAACAGCTTACACCGCACGGCTGTCTGCCCAGACTCTAGGCTCCACCAAGGAAAACGTAGACAATTAAGCTCGGCATTTTAGAGAACGGCTAACGCAGGCTTCCAGTTGACTAAGGTGACATAATTCCTTCTGTTTTCAAGTCGGAGTTCAGAGGACATCGTCCTGACTTTTGCCGATACAGATAGAGACGCAAGTCTCTGTTAAGTTTTTGTTATTCGCTCAACAGGTTTTTTTTTTCTTCGCATTTTTGAGAAAACCCGCGGCCGGGGAGCATAATTGCCGCTTCCCCGCCGGAAGCACTGCTGCTCGATGCCGAACTAAATCTTTCCTTTCTCCTTCGCAACACCCACAAAATTTTTCTCAGTCCTCCGTCAACAAGTCCGTCAAGCCCGAAAATCAGCGAGTCAGTCAGAGAGTGCCTAAGCGAGTCCAGAGTAAGTGTGTCTCGCCTCTTAACCAAAACGCGGCCGAGGAGCATATTTGCCGCTCCCCGCCAAAAAACATCCCGCTTCGTAATTACATTTTGTCCAGCAAGCCCGAAAATCAGCGAGACAGTCAGAGAGTGCCTAAGCGAGTCCAGAGTAAGTGTGTCTCGCCTCTTAACCAAACGCGGCCGGGGAGCATATTTGCCGCTTCCCGCCGGAAAACACCTCTCGGAGTCACTTACATTTTGTCCAGCAAGCCCAAAAATCAGCGAGTCAGTCCGAGAGTCAGCCAAAAGTAAGTGTGTCCAACTCAAATTTCCTTCTTGTCCTTCACCAAACGGGCTCCCACTATGGCTTCACTTATCGCCCCCTTAATTATGGCAAAATCTTCGTTTTCAACTCCAGAATGCGGAAATAAGGGTGATCGCGCATGCGCGCCCTTCTTCACTTAGCCAACAACCGGACCCTCAATCGCCAAAACCTGAATGACTTACATTGAAGACAAGTAGCAACCTTTGACCTTTCCGTCACGTACTTTCCTCTCTAAGGTCAACTAACAATGAAAATTCTTTCTCGAACATTCTAAAGCGCGCGAAATCATGACTTGGCGAAAATTGCCTCCCTTTCCCCGCCTTCTTTCACAATGAATAAAAGTTTGTACATGATTTACAAATAGAAAGAAAATAAATAATACTTCATTTAAACTAAATAATATTTCCCAGAAGCATCCGCTTCTTTCCCCAAAAATTAAAGCCTTAAACTAAATAATTCAGAATCAAAATAAAATTTAAATTTCCATAAATCATAAAATCATTCACCTAATTTTTTTATAACGCTATCAGATAATTTCTCTACATAACATATTTATTTACGTACACGTAAATAAAATAAAAGGCGCAACTTTAGTATTTACGTATACGTAATACGTAATATTTACGTACTTTATTTTATTTACGTACACGTAAATAAAATAAAAGGCGCCCCTTTAGGCGTAATATAATATCTGAAGGAATAATGTTCCTTTGGGCTAAAAATATTTAAGAACAGCCTATCTTTAGAATTTCCTATAGACAGTCTCGGGCGCTGGAGTTAAAATTGTTTTATTCCGTACACTGTTGCCATTGCTAGCTTTGAAATCGTTAACTTTGTTAATCAAAAATTCCTTAACATTTTAAAAATTATGAAATAGACAAAAAAAGTTCAAATTCCGGGTTCTAGGCGCCCATGTTCCGGTGAAGGACTATGTTATTCAAAATTTTATTGCTCTAGGTACCGTTGTCTTTTCACAATGCGAGAAACATACATACATTCATGCAGATTATTCACTGTTTAATTTCTTTAAATATAATACAGGGAGATCATATTTGGTGGCAACAGTTTGAAAAGTGATAAAACTCTAACGCAAAATGCCGTTTCAAGTTTAATAGTCCTTCTGGGCTAATGCCCCTTTGGGCTAAAATAATTACAATTAAATGGTCTTAGACAAATAGGTAGCTAAGCAAAGCAGGAAGACTAGGTAAATTCATGAATCTTTTTCGAGAGTATTCTATAAGAAATTTTAAGGAAAATACTGTGTACCTACAGTATACTTCGTATGGAATAAATTCGAATTTCTCCCAAATGCTTTTTAAAGACACTCGTATGTAATTGTTTGGAGCAACTATTATACTAAGAGCATATTTGTACCTAACTGAACTATTAAAAGATAGTCATACAACCTTTTTTTTTTTTCTATGCTTGTAAAAACACTGCACCGTCTTCATATCAATCTGATATGAGTCGATATTTCCATCTTCATGAAATATAATAAACCAAAGCTTAAAATGTAAGAAATTTTCTCCAGACTGTGTTTTGTCAAAAAATATGTCTGTGATAAGGGCTTAAAAATAAAAGAATTTAAACAAGAGGCCTAATTGAATTTTTTCTCCCCTTTTTCTTTCACAGCTACCCTTCCGGAGAGATGGCTCAATCCAACCACCATTGCTTTGGCCAACCAACTGGCGAGGTCTAAAGTAGTTTTGTCGATGCAAGAAATAGTGGCTTATATTGAGCAAATGTTAGCCACCAAGCGTAACGTGACTATACCATTCTTAAGAGTAGGAACACTGAAAATCGTAGGGGAAAATTGGAGAATGGATTTCAATCATGAATTCTTAAATAAAGTGTCGCTGAATGACGTAATCCACGTGGCCTACGACTGATGGTTATTGTCAAATTCTAAACCAAGCGACTTTAAAAAAACCGCTTTAACAGATATGGCACGAATGGTTGTTTTTTGTAAATATCCCCTGTATTCTAAAGCATATGATTATGATTAACAAAAATTGTATCGCATAATTATTTTTAAAATATAAAAATGATCGAAAGATAATATGTTACCAATAATTAAATTAATTTTTATGTATCATTTATATTTTAATAAACGATTTCAAAAGCAATGTTGAGTTGCTTAATTGTTTCTTATATTTACATAGTGCGCATGAAGATGAAATTAATTTTTACAGCTCTCATTTGGGTATTTTCTTGATAGGATATTTTTGATAAGTTCAATAATTGTCTTATTTTTTATTTGTCCGAAGGTCTCCCACCCCTCTTTCCCTACCAGCAACCTCTTGTGAGGACTTTCGGCTTGCTGTAAATTTAGTGTGCCTCCATGGCGCAAAGACATTATACATTTACAAACATCCTGCATTCGAACCCAGGACCTTCGGTAGCGTAGTAGGGTAGGCTCCCCTAACCACTATACCGTCTAGGAGTCTGGCATATGGGTGAAGGTGGTATAGTCTGCTGTAAGCTGCCGTGACTTGATGCATGTGCCAAGCAGATTTTCAGCAATAAAAAAATTGCAGAATTTTCAGAGTTTCTCAGTTCTTTCATAGTTTCATTGCATAATTTCTCAGATCTTTCAAGCGAGTCAATTAAATTGAGATTTGATGAAATACCAGACCTTGATTCTTGAAGTTTTCATAAATTTCTCCCGAATACAATTTTTGTACTTAAAAGTTTTTAAAATTCAAGATGAGGGGAAAATTGGCTACTTATAGCTATAAAATAAAATCAAATGCGGTTTTTATACGTAAAAGAGAAATTTTTAAAATTCAAAATGAGGGAATAATTTGACTTCTTATAACAAATGAAATAAAATAACTCTAACTTCGCATTTAATTATTGGGATAAAAATCTAAGCTTTCAGTTTGAAGACTAAAATAATTACTCATGTCATCTTGACCTTAATTTTTAATTTTTATTTTATAAATAACTACGAAAATTTTCTCCTGTAATAAATTTAAATGACATAATTCATTCCTGTAGGAGAGGGAGAGAAAATTTACTTCAAGAATCTATCTTTATTCTTTCGACAAATTTCAACAACGGCCGAGCGGTAAAGTCGCTAAATACTGGTAGATCGGTCTGAGGTTCGAATTCCGGTGAACGAGCTGACCACTTGGGTATTTTCGTGATTTTTCTCCATGTGTAATTTGTATACGAACCAGTTTCATTAGAAAGTCCATACTTAAACAAACCAATCTATTATTTCAACAAAATGCTCCAACTCCCGTGTGTAAGTTGTGTATGCACATTTTCAGAAATAGCAACGCTTTGACAAATCTGCACTGAATTCCAGCCAAAGCTCTCATGCCTCAGTTTAATCATGTTCAATCAACAGTTTTAGTCTGTTAGTAACTCAGCTAGAAACACCTATATTGCCTTTACACCGCAAGTTTGTGCGCAAAATTTCTAATAAGAAAATAAAATCTAGGCAAATAAAATGTGAAATCGGTTAATCTTCGAATTATGATAACTTGGCGATTTTTTGGCGAAACCTTGGCGACCAACCCTGCTACAGCAACCTGCTAGTTTTGTTTTGGGACGCCATTTTGTTTTCACGAAGTAAAGGCATTTTTTTTTTTTTTTTTTTTTTTTTTTTTTTAAACTCAACATTTTTTCCAACAATCCGTTAGCCGAATTACGCTTATACTAGAACTTTTATGGGACAAAAATGCTTAATCATGACGAAGATTAGGTGCGAAATTGGGAGAAAGTGCAGAATCGCAAACTGCTTGCCGCGTTTTTAAGAATTGCACATACACGGTATCCATGTAAACGTCGACCTATTTTCACTCAAAAAAAATCCCAGAATTGCACAGAAATGGCACTGCGCACACTCTTGACTTTATCCATGTACACTGCTAAAGTCCTAGCTAGTAACCTTTATCGCCTTACCAAAATGTCGCCAAACTACCTGTTACCATATTCCAAAGATTAGCAGTGAAATCTTAAAACTAATTTGCACGGTAAATAAAATTTAAAATGTACTGCTGCTGCGAAGTTAAAGGGTGATATTCATAAAGAATTCTCAGCGAAGAAATTCTCGATTGACTCATTCAAGAGAATTATCTGTCTGCTGTGCTAATAATTCCTTTCATGTATAACGAGTCAAGGGAACTCGGCAGTTTTATATCTTCTCATTCTAGTCGGCCGATTGTTCTAACATAGATATTTTGACACAAATTCGGGCTTTTTCTGAAATTACATACCATATTGTTTCCATACTTCAATTCTACTCTTTAAATTATACTTAAGTGTTCAGTTTTGCAAACGCCTCACGAGCTGTTTTCTTAAAATAATTTTACAAGGTCTTTTTTACCTATCAAAGCTGAGGAACCATTTTTCACCAGAACAGATAGGTGGGCAAGAGATAAAAATACTCACGTTAATATTTTTTGCACTCTTTCATATATACCTCTTAATGTTGTTGTATCTTTTAATGGTACTAAAGAAGCCATTTTTTTCAGTTATGATATATCCGCCATTAAGGCCTCTAATTAAAGTGGCAAATTGAATCGGACCAATAGCATCAAAACTTTCAACCATCATCAAAGAATAAAATTTAGAGTTACAAACTTTACTTTTCAAATTCTTTCCGATACATTTCGTTAAATTCTCCTAGTAATAGTATTCAAAGTGATTTCAAAAATATCGCTTTTATTATCAGGGTAAATTATATCTGCTATGCATTCTACAATAAGCTCGCCATCAGACACGGGTTTCGAAGTTTTGGCGATAAAATTGGCGACTACAAATAAGTAGCCTTCACAATAGATTCCGTCAGAGTTGTAACGTTGTTAAAATATCTTTTATTGAAAAATAATGTTTTTTAACATCGCTACATTATCTTGATGACAGATTCCTTGATTATATCGAATTTGGAAGCATGTTTTTGAACATAATGCCTTTTCAAATTACACTTCTTATTGCAGGTATAGAAGCTGGACAAATTAAGCAAAATGCCTCATTGTTCATCTCAAAATCTTCTTCAAAAAATAGTGTATATATTTTATTTTGTTTGGGATATAATTTTTTGTTGAGATGTAAACACTATGTTGAAATGAAACTTTTTCGAAGTATCGAACGACACTGTTCGTAAAAATAGAGTTTAGATATGTTCGGGGACGAACAAAAGACACCTAAATATAAATAATTTTCAAAATACTTAAACCCAATTTTGCAAGATTTATAAAAGTTCCTATTTTTTCAATATAAGAGCAGAAATAACATGCATAAAGGAAACAACTATTAAAATATAGTCTTAATTTGAAAACTACTACTTAAAATTGCCGAATTAATATTAAATAAACAGTTACCGCAAAAATAATCTTAATTTTTGGTCACAAACTATTGTGGGTAAAATCCTAGTATATGGTGCAGCCTTGGCGCGATTTTGAAAATTATCACCAACACCAAAAAATGACCCAAAGAACGTCTATATATATACTATACACTATATACTATCACTATATACATAGTATATACTATGTATAACTATATATATTCTTTGAACACCCGTTTCTACTTGTCGTATATGTTCCGTTTTTACTGCTTATTATAAAAGTCGCCAGAAGTACCCAAATCCCGTGTGCACCGGATACTAGGATTAAACCCTATTGTGTCCGCGAAGACACCAATAATTACAACTGATGGCTTTAATGTGCACGTATACGCAGACAGCCAGCATTATTAATCCTAATATATATCCAAGATGCTATAGTATGATGGTAATGGCGGATATTCATATAACAATAATATTATTCCCCAAAGTGCTAACAAAAAAAGAATGGTCAAAATGTAAAATAAGTCAAAATGGAGATAATAATATGTCTTACCTTTAATTTTTGGAGCGCCAAGGCAATAAAAATCAGAATAAAGAAGATTTAAAAAAAATTAAAATCGCAGTTCACACACTATTTTTCACTATGGCATCCATATAAGCACAACACTGAAACACCAAACTGATTTTTCACTTACATATCACTTAACATGTCGTAATTTCACAAACGATATAACAAAATGTAGTAAATAGTTCCTCAGAAAGACTAAAATAGAATTTCAGAATACTTTAAACACTATTTCAAAGCGCTTGAATATGTAACATTCGCTGTTATCCATTCCTGTTTGAAGATCGCAAACACCAAATTTGATATTCTCAACTTGGCGATTCATCACCTTGGCGAAGTATAAATTCTCACTTTGGCAAAACATGAATTTCTTTAATTACAAATACGTGAAAACGCCAGTCTTTCTTTAAAAAAGAAAAGTTTCTTGGGCCGTGGATCAGATTCCACTGTGCTACAGCATTATGTTTAAAAATTGTAAATAATTGCAGGAATTCAATGGATAAAGTAACTGGCTTTTTAAAAATTAGTGAGACAGCTACGTATATGTCAACAAAATTAGTGCAATATGTTGAGATTTGGAATGAAATCAGTGTCTTCATAACATATCAATTATCTTCTTGCACTAGCAAAATCTTATCTCTGAATCCATTTTTAGAAAATTCGGGTATTCTCAGGGTAGGCGGTAACCTGAAATTTACAAACCTCACAAACATCCCATCCTGCCGCGTAAACGATACATTCTAACTGAGCTCATTGTTAAACATTATCATGAAATTCCTTCGCATGCTGGTCCACAATATACGAGTGATCTTGTACATTGGATTATAGATGTCAGAAATGTCATCGAACATTTAATCAGAAATGTGCAAAATTGTTTCAGAAATTACAAAATCTGTCACCAATCAAACCTGTCACTAATCGATCACTGATCAATCACAAAATTTGTCACCAATCCATCACTGATCAATCACAAAATCTGTCACTAATCAATCACTGATCAATCACAAAATCTGTTACTAATCAATCACTGATCAATCACAAAATCTGTCACTAATCAAATGATGAGCGATTTGCTATCTACCCTGCGAAACGAAATAGACTATGCTGATCTTTTTCAAATCAAAGACAACAAGGGTGGAGGCTCTAAAACATGGGTTCTCAACGGACTGGGTACGGACATCCTGGGGGTTGAGGAAATTTTAAATGTAGTTGATAATGATTAAGAGGTCAA